AATGCTAAGCTTCACATCTGGAGTCTGAAGACCTCAGCGCTGCTCCCTCCTCTTCCCTCCCCCTTCTCCTCTTCCCTCCCCCTTTCCTCTTTCCTTCTCCTCTTCCCTCCCTCCTTATCCTCTTCCCTCCCCTTCTCCTCTACCCTCCCTCCTTCTCCTCGTCCCTCCCCCCTCTTTCTTTCTTTCCCTCTGTTGCCTCTTAACTTCTCTCCTTACACATGCTCTCCCTCTCCCTCTCTCTCTTTGTTATCCTGTCAAAATAGTTGTATTTTAATTATATATTTTTTATTTAGTAATTTAAGAAGAAGAAGAAGATACACTTTATTAATCCCTTACAGGGAAATTTCTTTCCCGACTCTGTTGTGTTTACACACATTACACACACAGGGGAGGATATACATGCACACACAGAGGATATACATGCACACACACACAACCACATGCAGATAGGAGAGGTGGCAGAGCAGAGAGGCTGCCAGGTACCCGGCGCCAAGGGAGCAGTTTCGAGGTTAGGTGCCTTGCTCAAGGGCACCTCGGCAGTGGCTTTGGAGGTGAACTGGCACCTCTCCAGCTACCAGCTCACTCCATCTTTTTTTGGTCCAATCGGGACGTGAACCGGCGACCCTTCGGTTCCAAGACCAAGTCCCTACAGACTGAGCCACTGCCGCCCCTTTATCAATGTTGTTATATATTTTTTTTTATTATGTATTTTATGACATATTTTTTATATTTAATTTGTAAAATGAATATATATTTTCCTTTTTTGGTTCACTCTTTTTTGGTTCACTCTTTTTTTCACTTCACTTTGGTGCCTCTGAATTTCTCTCCTGACTCATGCCTTTGCACTCTCTCGCTCTCTTCTCCCATCAAATATGTTTTTCTTTTGAATTTGTTTCTTTTACATTACATAAGTTTGCCATCTAGTCATACCGTCTTGTCAATATTTTATCCTTTTCCTGCACTAAATAAAACAAAAAGCAGCCATATCTTTGGGAAACATCGTTAAGGTTTACGACAGGACATATTACTAATGAGCTCCAGTTAGGTGCGACGATGCATGAACATAATGACTAATGCCCCAGCACGTGCAATGGTTTGGCTGATTCGCATCGGCGTCACTGGGAGTAGATAATAACTAGAAAAGCAGGAGACTATAAGAAACGTTTAAAGTTGCTGATCAGTACAGGCAGGATTTGTGGGCATTTTATAATGACCGAGCAAAGTGTTATTTAGTTGATAACAATGTACGTTCAGTTATTCTGTATTCACATTACATCTTATGTTTTCCTAATGTGCAAATAAACATTTCTCAAAGTGTTTTAATGTTTCAGTTCACATTTCTTGTTGCAAGCTTTTTTTCAAATCCAGTTTTACAATTTTTTTTTTTTTTTTTAGTAATAGGGACAAAATCAGCCGTGTCAAAAAAAAATGCAGAATCTGAGTTTGTGTCTTTAGGGTTTATTGCACTTATTGCTTTGGATAAAAGCTCTATTTCATATCATTTAAAGGGGACCTATCATGCAAAATGCACTTTTGTACGTCTTTTCTACATGAATATGTGTCCCCGGTGTTCCAGGGAACTCACCAAGTGTCAGAAAACACAACCCTCTCTATTTTCCTCCATACCCAAATCTCTAAAAAAGGGGCTGCAACGGATCTGATAAAAACTGATCCAGATTTGAACACTGTCCTGACGTCAGGACAGTGGCGCTACGGCTATTGGGCCAACTCCACCAATCAGGAGGAGACAGCCACGGCCATTGCCGTTCGAAAGCGCTGTAGACGCTGTAGTACATATGCCAGGCCTCTAGATGGTGCTGTTCTCACTGAATCAGCCCTTGCTAAAACAGATCTAAAAAATGTCAAATTGAGTAAAATGAGGCATGGCTAAAATGCATGATCTGTTTGGTATTTTGAAAAAAAAAAAAGTATAAATATGCCTTATATAGGTATGGTCCTACACTATATTATTAAAATATAGCATGATAGGTCCACTTTAATCTAACATAATGCATGTGTGAGAATAAAGATGCCTTCATTATCTGAATAACTATCCTCTTAATTGAAGTGCATTCATCATTTTCTTCTTCCTTTATATTTGTCCTGATATGTTGATTGCTATTTAATGAATTATAGTTTTTACTGTTTTGTATTGTGTTTGCGCTGTAAAGATGTGCTTTCTTACAATGAAAACAAAATCAATTTATTTATGAAATCAGCCAGTCAAAGTGTGACTTAGTTACAGTGAGACAGATGACAGTGGGGCATTATTACGTCACTTAATGAATATCAAACACCAGAATTGATGCAGTTGATAATCAACCCCCCCTGCTGGAGGACGAGGTATTTACGGTATGTGTCAGAGGGAAAGAAAATAGGTGTTTGTTTCAGGCTCTGCACTTTCCCTCCTCACCTCCTACCTCAAAGACCGCACCTACAGGGTAACTTGGAGAGGGTCCGAGTCCGACCCTTGTCAATTATCTACAGGGGTCCCTCAGGGCTCTGTCCTCGGTCCCCTCCTCTTCTCTCTGTACACAAACTCGCTCGGATCACACACACACACACACACACAATCAATTGTGTGTGTGACCTAACAATCAACATCGGCCCCTCTGTTGTTTCCCCGACTCAGACTGCAAGGAATCTGGGTGTGACCCTAGATAACAAACTGTCCTTCACTGCAAACATCGCTGCTACAACCCGCTGCTGCAGATACACGCTTTACAACATCAGGAGGATACGTCCCCTCCTGACCCAGAAAGCCACGCAGCTTCTGGTCCAGGCTCTCGTCATCTCACGCCTAGACTACTGCAACTCCCTCCTGGCTGGTCTACCTGCATGTGCCATCCGACCTCTGCAGCTCATCCAGAATGCAGCGGCTCGTCTGGTCTTCAACCTTCCTAAATTCTCGCACACCACCCCGCTCCTCCGCTCCCTTCACTGGCTTCCAGTAACTGCTAGAATCCACTTCAAGACACTGGTACTTGCGTAACATGCTGTGAATGGTTCTGGCCCTTCCTACATCCAGGACATGGTTAAACCATACACCCCAGCACGTGCACTCCGCTCTGCATCAGCCAAACAGCTCGCTGCACCCGCACTGCGAGGAGGACCCAAGTTCCCATCAGCAAAAGCACGTGGGTTTGCTATCCTGGCTCCAAAATGGTGGAATGAGCTCTCCATTGACATCAGGACAGCAGAAAGCTTCCACATCTTCCGGCGCAGACTGAAAACTCATCTCTTTCGACTCCACTTCGAGCAATACAATTACTAACTAAGCACTTATATACTAACTAAGCACTCATATACTAACTAAGCACTTATATACTAACAAAGCACTTATATACTAACTAAGCACTTATATACTAACTAAGCACTCATATACTAACTAAGCACTTATATACTAACAAAGCACTTATATACTAACTAAGCACTTATATACTAACTAAGCACTCATATACTAACTAAGCACTTATATACTAAAATACTTATAATAAGCTCTGAGGATCTCCACTTTGTCTTTACTTTGACATTCCTCACTACAGTTTAACACCAGCATTATTACTCTAAATGTCTAAATTGCCTGTTTATCAGAGGAGTTCCAGGCGACCTCAGCAGGATCAGATGGCAGGTCATTAAAAGAGGGAAAGCTCTGAGGCTGCAGCGCCCTCTGCTGGCGACCTCCTGCAGAAACATCAGGCCAACATCTGGAGCTCAAAACAAGCCTGAAGCCCGACCGCAGAACAGGAATAATCCTGAGAGGAATCTGTCCGTCAGCAACAATTCACTGCTGAGCCTCGTCTGAACGTCATGAGACACAGCGAGGACATTCACTGAAGAAAAACACTCCAGAGGAGGCAGCAGTACTCAGATATTGTACTTAAAAAGTAGAAGTATTCAGGTATTGTACATGAGTAAAAGTAGAAGTACTCAGGTCTTGTACTTGAGTAAAAGTAGAAGTACTCAGATCTTGTACTTGAGTAAAAGCAGAAGTACTCAGGTCTTGTACTTGAGTAAAAGTACAAGTACTCAGATTTTGTACTTGAGTAAAAGTAGAAGTATCAAAGTGTAGGAATACTCTGTTACAGTAAAAGTCCTGCATTTAAAATGTTTCTTGGATGCAGGACAGAATAAATCTTGCTATCATTCGTGCACTCATGTTTTTGTTGTGGTTCCTAAATAAATAAAACACACAATCCCATTCATGGCAATGCAATGCAGCAGCAAGTGATGCAACTTTAAAACAAATATACTGCTCCATTTTGGACCATGGTGTACTTATCTGCTATTTATTTGTGTACTTACAGTAGTGTTTTTTGGTATTATTAATAACGTGTGCATACTTCATAATCCAGGCTGAAGACATTTATTCGTGTCGCTGCTTTTAATTGAACTAATCATATCTGCACTGTCATTTTGATGAATGCCGGAAAATCTAAAAGCAGGTTTAAATATCCTAATTCTGGGAATTGAAAACACAAATGGTTTAAAGGCCAAATATTAATAGTCTTGTATTTTGTATGTTTCTTTGCTTTTTAATAACTGCTTTTAAATGCCATTTTATAAGGTGTTTCAAATGCACTATTTTCTTAATGTCTTTTATTTTTGTAAAGCACTTAAAGTACTATAAAGAAACGTGCCTTGCCTTACTTAGTTATTTTTATTTTGTCTATTGTCTTCACTTTATCTGCACTACTTCTGCTGTAGTAATAGTGTAGATTAACCCATTGTGGGACAAATAAACTAATTTTGATTCTGAAAGAGTGAGCCGTGTTTGACGAGACAAAATGAGGAGGAAAATGTCAAATCAACTTCCCGTCACATTATACCTCAGCTCATGTAATAAACCAGAGTTTACTTGTCCGTTTGGTCACCACCTCTCTGGGCTAAAGGTTATTTTGGGCGTTTCAAATACTTTAGCAAACAGTGACTCATCGAACCCTCCTGTTAATCAAACCTACAGAGCACAGTTTGATATCAGAAGACAAACAGAGGCTTACCGTGGAGCTGTGTGCTTCCTCTGAGCGAACATCATCTTCCTCTCCTGCAGCAACAACAGCTTCTTCAGACACGATGACTTCCCCCTCTGGAGAAATGCACACAACACAATGCAATCAGTCCAGAACAAATGCCCCAAATGTAGGAATCATCAAGTTTGACTGGAGCAGCTTGTGTCTGTACTAAAACGCCCTTAAAAGAAACAGTTCCCATAGGAGCTACTGTATAACCATTTGCATGTAAATTAATTCATCATTCTTTAATTATAAACACAGAATCTGAATGGCCCATTGATGGTGCTGTATAATTACCTCTGATGGATTAAAGAGGGTATCTAGAAAGCCTGTTTTAAGTGAATATGACTTGATAAATGTAGAGGAAGTAAACAAATCTCAGAAATGCCTCGAAAAAAAGGAGATATTCTTGGGTTTTTAAGCATCTACCAGAATCCAGATTGAATATTCAAACCTTTATTTCCGACTTGACTTAGAAATGGTTCAATATTTAAACATGTTACTTAATTTTCATTTATAATATCTCATCCCCATTTACACACACTATAGCGGTCACAAAATGTTTCCTTCACAATAATTATTGACAAAAGTCTGTCCAAATGCATCTTTGTGACCTATCTTTGGAAATATTTTTAGCTCGGTTTGTGTATTAATTGATAAGTCTGTTCGATGATTACGTAAAACCTACTGACTCTATTTACATGGAACTTGGTGGAAGGATGTGGCATGGGTCAAGAAAGAACCCATTCCATTTTGAAGCAGATCTGAATCACGGGGCGGATAAACTAATTATTTTTTCACTTTTGTAAAATAAGCCAATCAAATGATGTCTGGATAATCTGAAAAAATGTGTTCCTGATTGGGAAAATTCACAATAACGCCCCCTGATGTCAGACACAGTTACAATAGCAATGTCATGATTACATACTCTGAACAATTAAACACATCTAATTTGTAGTATCTGTGTTATTTCCAAATTAAGACCAAAAGCTCTTGAATGCATCACTGCTGGAGAAGAACTTCCCAACTCTGGGGAAAAAGGACCATTTGAGGAGCACTTGAATGCATCACTGGTCTTGGTGAAGGTCTGCACCTCTTAAATGCCATTCTAGTTTATTGATCATTTTTTGGGATGTTGGGATAGTGGCAATTCAAAAGTTGATCATTTCTAAGGAATGTTTTTATTACATTACATTACATTTAGCTGACGCTTTTATCCAAAGCGACTTACAATGACCAATTACAGGGACATTCCCCCTGGAGTAACTAAGGGCTAAGTGCCTTACTCAAGGGCACACTAATGGTGGAGTTCCAGGCGGGATTTGAACTCGCAACCGATCTTCAGCCCACCTCACTATCCATTAGACCACCACTACCCCTATTATAATATAATTAGGTTTTGTTGTATCTAAGTTTAACTTCAACTTAACTGCAAGACTTTTACAAACACTTAATGTTCATCCTGCCATATTAACAGTAAACTTGAGTGTTGAGAGTTTCTTTACGAATAAAGCTTGTTTTCATAAAGGCACTTCTGTTTAATGTAGGTCTATTTTATGTCTTTGTATTAAACTCAAATGCAAGTGTAGGGAAGTGGTGAGAGAGTCTGATAGCATGACTGTGTAACATAGTTACCTAATATTATCATGTGTGCATTGTTTACAGTTTATCAACATGTCATGTTTTAAATATCACTGACGTCATCCATCTTATTGTGACACCCCTGTTTAACCCTGACACAAGAGAAAGCTTGTCTCTGATCTACGATGCTACCTGAAGCTAGGCTGTAAATATCTCCCCTCGTTCACAATGACAGCTCTCTCTCTCTCTCTCTCTCTCTCTCTCTCTCTGACGCACAGCCTTGCCCTTGACCTCTCTTTATTGGACTTGGGTGTAGTACAATTACTCCTGATGAGTGCAAATTGCCAACAGAGGAGTGCTGAAGGTTCACTGACAGAGGAGAGACTCTCACTTCCTGCTCTGCGCTCACATCAGCTGGCCTGAGTGTTTGTTTTTGGGGAAGCCAGCCTCCAGCCTTGGTCACATGCTGTGGTAACGTGACTGTGTTTGCTGACATACAGTGTGCTGAAGCCAGAGAGTGCAAAGACTAACAGAGAACATATGATATAAAGGGAAATTTTGTCATGGCCTTAAGGTACAAAAGATATAAAACGCCTCATTATTTCATGTTATGAAACACGTCAGTAAGTATCCCAGTGTCCTTTTATGAACTGAAATGGAAAAATGATGGTGCTAACGTCACGTTTGTTGGTTAACCCTAACCCCTAATCCTTATATAATACATAATACATGGCCTAAGGTATTGAAGATATACGCCTTGTTATTTTCTGTTACAAAACATTTCACTAAGTAATCCATTGTCCTCTTATGAACTGAAATGGAAAAATGATGGTGCTAATGTCAAGTTTGTTGGTTAACCCTTAATGCTCACCCTCTAATCCTCATTAGAAAGACAAAAAGCACCAAAACTGAAAAAGCCCTAAGCAAACATACACAAAACAGCAATATAATTAATATAACACATGATATACAACACAAAGATATAAAACGCCTCATTATTTCATGTTATGAAACACGTCAGTAAGTATCCCAGTGTACTTTTATGAACTGAAATGGAAAAATGATGGTGCTAACGTCACGTTTGTTGGTTAACCCTAACCCTAAATGCTCATCCTTAAATCCTCATTACAAAGACTACTATCATCAAAACAGTACAAATCCTAAGCAAATATGTCTCCATAACAGCAACATATTATATAATACATAGCCTAAGGTATTGAAGATATACATAAAAACCTGTCACTAAGTAATCCGTTGTCCTAGTATGAACTGATTTGGCAAAATGATTGTGGTAATGTTCGATTTTTTGAGTAACCCTAACCTTAAATGCTCATTAGAAAGATGATAAGCACCAAAACTGAAAAAAAAAAAACCTAGACAAGCAAATATAATTCATATTATACATGGCCTAAGGTATCAAAGATATAAAACGCCTAATTATTTCCTGTTATGAAACACGTCACTAAGTATCCCTGCATGAACTTAAGTGGAAAAATGATTGTGGTGATGTTGCATTTTTGTTTTGCAGTAACCCTAATCCTTAATGTTCATCCTCAAATCCTCAATAAAAAGACAATAACCACCAAAACAGTAACAATTCCAAGCAAACATCTCTTCACAAAAACCGTATAATACGTGTCCTAAGGTACCAAACGTATAAACGCCTCATTATTTCCTCATATGAAACTATCACTGAGTATTCCAGTGTCCATGCACGAACTGAAGTGGCTGAATGAATGTGCTAATGTCTCATTTTGTTGTGTTTTTCTGGCGAACCCTAACCATAAAATGCTCAATAATGTATCTTCATTAGAGAGACAATAAGCACCAAAACAATCAAACAAATCCTAAGAAAATGTGTCTTCACAACAGCAATATAATTCAAATAATACATGGCTAAAGACACTAAGTACTCCAGTGTACTTGCATGAACTGAAGTAGCAAAATGATTGTGCTAATGTCTCATTTTGTTGTGTTTTTTTGATGAAACCCTAAATACCCCCTTATTTAATACAAAAATGCTAAATCCTCATTAGAAAGACAATTAGCACAAAGAAGGTAAACAACCTAAGCAAAGATTTGTTGACAACAGCAATATATCACAACAGGATGTGGCTCAAAAACCTCTGTGAGGGCTATTATGGCAAGATGCATTGCATTAAGCTTTGCAGAGATATTGCCATTAATCACCAGAGGAGGACTGGATCTGATTAAGCATATTTGTTTAGAAATAAGACTTTGACAAACGTATTGCCCTGTGATGTATGTGGGTGTGTGAAACTAGAATAAACCTGAAGTGGTGCTGAAATAAATCAGTGTTCGCCCACCTTGAAGTGCACCGCTGGGCCTTTGTGGTTCTCCGTCCAATGAGTCGAGAGTCTCAGGATTTCCAGTCGTCTCGTTCTCAGCATCAGGTCCGCCGGATGCTTCATTGCTCAGCGGAGTGACACCATTGGATAAAGACGCATTGATCTGATCCTCTGAGTGCCTTAATCTCTCATCAGGTGACCTTTCATCCGCTGTCATCTCTGAATTATCCTGTTTGGGTTGCCCCGATTGCACGTCTCCACTCTTTCCAGCTGCAGATTCATCACTGGTGTCATTTGACTGATGTTCAAGGGAGCTAATTGCTTCGCTTTCTTCTGCAGGAGATGCACTAGCTTCAAATAAAACACTGCTGGTGTCCTCTGAATCCAATGCAGAGACTGCGCATTTTGCATCAGAGTTTGTGGCCTCTTCAGGTTCGGCGTCATCTACCGTCATCGGAGCGTCTGCACTTTCAGACAATAATAGATCCACTTGGAAAGTTCTGCAGTAAGTTCCTCGACGTTTTCCTCAGGATTCAACGCCTCTTTTGTCTCGAAGTTGGGTAAAAGTTGTGATTCTGGCTCAGTGTGGCTGCAGTCCGTTAATGTCAAAGTGTCCGTCTCAACCACGCTTGGTCCATTGCTTTCACCTTCTCTTGAATCATTGGAATCCTCCTCCATCTTTAATCCTGTTGAGGAAACATCTTCTACATTACTTTGACCTGCGTCCTGATCCGCCACACTAGCATTATCCTGAGACGGGTGGAATATATCCGTTGTGGAGCTTCCCACTGATCGGAAACTACCATCATCGTCATCGCTGGAGATGCCATGGCTCATCTCTGGATCTTGATCAGCGTGTGTATCACTGGAGCTGGGGATGAGATCAGGTGATGGATCAGCTCTTATATCCTCCATGGAGTTAGCAGGAGCCACGCAATTAGCGGTGTCCTCAGGATCGTCCATTGACAAACTTTCAGCGCTGCATCCAGAAGGTTCTGCTTCATCGTCGACCTCTCCTTCGCTGGCCGTTACACTCCCAGAATGACAACCAGTTTCTGTTGCCTGCTGCTGCTCTGAAGCGTAATCCCTACCAGCTGTTTCCTGGTTTTGTTCCCGGCTGTTTATGTCTGGTGGAGGTTCCCCCTCGTGGAGGCCTTCTATCGAGAGAGCAGATTGAGGCTCCTTGATTACATCAGCGCCGTCTATCAGTGTTGGACTGGGGTCGGATACAAGCTCTGTTAACCCTTCCTGCTCTAAAGAGACTTCCCCATTAGTCCCTCCTTCCTCACAGCACTCTTTAATTTCAGAGTCAGAGGCGTCAGAAACCTCAGAGCCCTGTGACGACGGCGACTGGCCCATGATTGAGGTTTTTACGTCTCCACAGGGCGTTATCGGATCTGTTGACTCCGTGTCCTCCTCCCTCTTTCTAACTGTGCTTTCCTCGGCTTCCTGCTCTGATCTGTCCTTTCCCTCCTTGACCTCCTGTCCTTCCCAGATCACAGCCTCGTCTTTATCAGTTTCCTCCGCCTGTTTATCACTGCCTTCAGTTGGTGGTAGACAGATTCCCACAGTGAGGCTTTCCTCTTCTGCTGCTGCTTCACTGCTCAAACTCTGGGTGGGAACCACAGGCTGCCCTCTTCCCTCCTGCTCCGTTTGGCAGTAATCTCTCCCAGTGTTTGAACGGAGACACACCCGGGGCCCGAGGCCATGCTCCTGAGGCCTTGTGTCTGACGTTGGAGCGCTCAGAGACAAACACAAGTCTCTCTCTGCACTCCCAGTCTCACCATGTCCACAATCAACACTGCTGCTGCTTTCCACGGAGCAGTTTCCCACCCAGCTTGTTGTATCCGAGCTCTCCGACAGCTGTAGTCGCTCCTGACAGGTTATCTCCTCCACACCATCACAACATTCAGCTGCTGTGTGCAGAGAATCAAAGTGCAGCTCCAGTACAGAAACCCCCTGCAGAATACAGGAGAGAAGCAGGATATATGTTAGCTTTCCCCCTCGGAGAAACCAACAGCTCTCGAGTTCTTATCAATCGCCAACTCTGTGATTGCATAAGGTGTTCCACCGGTTATACAAACTCAGCTTGAAGGTTAAAACAAATGAGGGCAGAGAAAAGACAAACAACCTGACAATGTTTAGCAGCAGCAGCAAAGCTCCTGGATAAAGTGAGTGGAGAGAGAGTGGTAAAAAAGGGCAAGGTGCGGAGGGGGAAAGTACTCAGATCTGGTACTTTAGTAAAAGTAGAAGTACTCAGATTGTGTATTTTAGTAAAGTAGAAGTACTCAGATCCTGTACTTGAGTAAAAGTACTCAGATATTGTACTTTAGTAAAAGTAGAAGTACTCAGATCCTGTACTTGAGTAAAAGTACTCAGATATTGTACTTGAGTAAAAGTACTCAGATATTGTACTTTAGTAAAAGTAGAAGTACTCAGATCCTGTACTTGAGTAAAAGTACTCAGATATTGTACTTTAGTAAAAGTAGAAGTACTCAGATCCTGTACTTGAGTAAAAGTACTCAGATATTGTACTTTAGTAAAAGTAGAAGTACACAGATCTTGTACTTGAGTAAAAGTAGAAGTACCAGAGTGTAGGAATACTCTGTTACAGTAAAAGTCCTGCATTCAAAATGTTCCTCAAGTAAAAGTAGAAAAGTATTATCATCAAAATATAGTGAAAGTAGCGACAGTAAAAGTAGTGATTGTGCAGATTGGTCCATTTCAGAATAATATATATGATATGTTTCATAATGATTGATCATGAAAGTGTTATCAAAGCTGGTAAAGGTGCAGCTAGTTTGAATGACTTTGTATACTGCAGGGTAGCTTGTGAATTTACTCCAGGTGGAACTCAAGTCTGATTTAACACTTGATTATATTTCACATCATTCATCCACATCTGTAAAGTAACTAAAGGTATTAAATACATGTAGTGGAGTAAAAGTACACCATTTACTTCTGAACTGTAGTGGAGTAGAAGTACAAAGTAGCATTACATGGTACAGTTACTTTACACCTCTGGCAGGGTGCTGGGACTCACCTTGAGATGGTGTTTCAGGTGCAGCAGCTGCTCCACACTCCTCTGGAGGGTCGGGGGGTCGAGGCCGGGGTGTATCCTTAGCGTCAGGGTATGTGTGTTCAGCCTGGGGAGGTGGCAGACTACCCGTGCGTCCGTACACACCGGCTGGACGCTCTCAGTGTCTCTGTCCGTCTCAGCCCTGTTGGGAATAAACACTTAGATCATCCCGAACAGCCTGAAGAGTGATTACAGCAAAAACTGTTCTCAAAAGAAGGTTTAAATGGTGATGTCACACAAAAAAACATCCTTTCTTTTGATAATCCGCACGCATTGTTTGTGTTTTGAGTGGGTTAGGGTTAGGGTTAGTCCATTGGTCAAATCCTGAGGTTTATTCTAGCTGGTAGTCAATCAATCAGGGTCGCTGTCAAGCAAAGATGCTACTTTCCTTTTCCTGTCGTAAAATACTCAACTTTAAGACCACTCCTACTCGATCAGCTTTTCTTAGAAGGTTTTAACCGTGATATCAGCCCCCTTTCTTTTGATAATCCAAATGTATTGTTGTTTTCCTCCAGAGTTGGTAAGGGTTAATCCATTGGTCAAATCCTGAGGTTTATTCTAGCAGGTAATCAATCAATCAGGTGCGGTCAAGTACAAAAAAAGGCGCAAAGATGCTACTTTGCTCTCCTGTCGTAAAATACTGAACTTTAAGATCAGTCCTATTCGATGAGCTTTTCTGAGACGGTTTTAACAGCAATGTCAGCCCTTCTTCTTCTTCTGATAATCCATGTGAGTTGTAGTTTTCCTCCAGAGTTGGTAAGGTTAGTCCATTGGTTAAATCCTGAGGTTTATTCTAGCTGGTAATCAATCAATCAGGGTTGCTGTCAACTACAAGAAAAGTTAACCAGAACTGTTACTTTCCTTTCCTGTCGTAAAACACTCAACTTTAAGACCACTCCTACACAATAAGCTTTTCTGAGAAGGTTTTAACAGCAATGTCAGCCCCCTTTCTTCTGATAATCCACATGTATCTTTATTTTTCTTCCAGAGTTGATAAGGGTAAGTCCATCAGTCAATTCCTGAGGTTTATTCGAGCTGGTAATCAATCAATCAGGCGATGTCAAGTACAAAAAAAAGGCGCAAATATGCTACTTTCCTTTCCTGTCGTAAAACACTAGGACCACTCCTTCTCAATAAGCTTTTCTTAGAAGGTTTTAACCGTGATATCAGCCCCTTTTCTTCTGATAATCCACGTGTATTGTTGTTTTTCCTCCAGAGGTGGTAAGGGTTAATCCATTGGTCAAATCTGTAGGTTTATTCTTGCTGGTAATCAATCAAACAAAAGTTCCAGGCCCAGCGGCAAGTCAAGCAGAACTGTTACTTTCCTCTCCTGTCGTAAAACACTCTACTTTAAAACCACTCCTTCTCAATAAGCTTTCTGAGAAACCCTCACTCCCCCTGCTGCCTTCGCTCTAAGGTAGAAGTATGTGCAGTTCATAAAGATAGTGCAGAAAAGGGGGAGACACCTCCCAGTCAGGCAGCTCTGTTTGCGTAATCCTGGGTGGATTGCTTTCGCCGCGAGGCCCTGAGAGCTGAGGTCACCAGCCAGGCTGCGAGTGACTTCACTTCTCATGAGGGAGATGTAATTACTAACACATAAAGAGGGAGTCATAAAGCAGCTTCAATGCACGCTGGGCAACGAGCGAGCTCACTAAGTGGTAGTTGTCTTTCAGCTTGTGGCATCTTCATTTTCAGTTAAGTGAAAACTATTCTGTAGAGTGCTTAAAAGACATAAAAAGGGTCTATTTCCACTTGAAGCCGTGTTTTAATCGTAGCTGTTTTTCTCTCCCCGCAGTTTAATGTTTCACTAGAAAGGGAGGTGAAGACTCTGACCTCACTAGTCAGAAAGAAGGCATTGTGAACCTGTTAAGCCCTGAGCCTGTTTTTCAGGTCTCAGGCTCGAAAATGACATTCCCAGAACAAATGACCATATCTTCCCTTCTAAAAGGGTTAAATTAATAATCTTTATTCTCAAAGTAATGATAAACCTGTGAGTTGGATGTAGAAGTGTCAAAATCAATATAGATGTTTTTTATTTTAAAGTAAATTCAGATTGAACACAGTAAAAGAATGTAAATGATAGTGTCCGTCCAAAAAATGTTTTACTTATAGTGAAAACTACCCTTGAATGATGGGATAGTAGACTAAAAGCTTTAGGAATCCAAACTATAACATATAATAAGTACCCTGTATCAAGATTGATGCAAAACAAGTTAAATTTGACCTTTTTAGAGAGGTTTAGAAAAAAACAAACACTTCTGGGGTCATTTGGGTAGATTTGACCTATCTCTGGCTTTCGATTTTGATGATTGACACCTCTTTTTAACCGCTAGAGCCAATGGAATCGAGGGGAGGTTCCACACGTTACCAAATAAGGAGTGAGAGTGACGCGTGACCAAAACCAAAAGCTGCGATACACTCTGGTGGCTACCATTAGCAGCTAATATTTATTCTCCGATTTTTACATTAAAATGGAATTATGGATTATCAATAATTTTTTCAAAGTGACAGACACATTGGATTAACCTATGGATCAACCCTCAGAAGCGTTTTTATCGTTTTAATGCCATTGAACACGATCTTTGATCAGAATAACAGCTAAGGTGAGACGATCTCCCGTGTTTGCTCCGTAATGCTACGTGTTGTGATGTCTGTGTTTGCTTCCCCTGTCGCGAGTTCTGATCGCTCAGTGATGATACGAATACCTATAGAATCTGTGGAATCCCAGCTTTAATCGGATATCTTGTATGTGCAGTTACGATAAGTAATAAGGGTATCTTTACCTTGAGTTCTGTGCCAAGTGCGTTAGCATTTTTTCGCTCAGGGGTCATTTAGACGCTTCTTATGAGACTTGTGTTTTGTTTTGGTAAAAATGGTTTGTATCGTCAGTTAGCTGAGTTTCTTCCCGTTAATCTGGTATGACACATTAATAGGTTTTTAAATATTAAGAAGCCCTGAGACACAGTTTCGTGAAGAAAAAAAACCTGCAGCCCCCTCCACCGGGGGCTCTCGGGCTAAACAGGTTAATCACCCTAGTGGATCTACCTGCCATACAAACCTATGGGCATTGTGGTTCCCTGAACACAACACACAAGTGTCCCCTAAGAGCAGCATGTAGATAATTAATCGGCAGTCTACATCTTTGGGCCACTTAACTTTCCAGATAATCTTCTGCCAAGAGAGAAGTGTGTGTGTTGTTGACACTTTTTGTTTGTTGTCGGTTTCACTTTGTTAGTGTAGGTCTTGCATCATCTTGTGACCGTTATCTATTAAAGGGGCCCTATTATGCTCAGTTTCTGGGTTATAAAGTTGAACTAAAGTTTAGTTTGTTAATTACCTGTGGAGATTTATTTAGTAATTGCATTGTTTAAAATAAGTGCAAACCAGACAGTGCACATCCACTAAAGCAAACAGAGACAATAAAGACAATCAAAGTATTAAAGGTGGGGTAGGTAAGTTTGAGAAACCGGCTCGAGATCGCTAGAATTTGAAAATATACAACCGGAGAAAATCTGCCACTTCCTTACAGAGCCCCTCCTCCAACACACACGAACGCGCACATGACCAATGAGGGCACGAGATAAGTTTGTGCACAGATGGAAGGCTGACAGGCAGGTAGGCCATCCAGTTATTTTAGCCGGGCCGGCTAAAATGATTGGTCGTGCTTTTCACAGTACCACGGCTTCCACAGATGACATTTTTTTATGGATTTTTTTGTCAAAGCACTTAAGATATTCATTGCTATCGGGATGTTAAGAGCATTCCATGGAATATAACAAAAAGCGTATCTCGAGCCGGTTTCTCAAACTTACCTACCCTACCTTTAAATATATATGAATTGAAGTTCAGCAACTCAGTTTGTCATTGTTTGTGTGTCATTGCTATAATCATTAAGTTGTTGATGACAATAAACAACCAACAACAACAACAATGTACTAACATTATGTATCAAAAACCCATATCTCTCTTTTATTATCTTCTTTTTTCTTATGTTTTAATTTTGAAACATGCTTAAACTTTAAAACCCACTATTTTATATTAATGTACACATCCTTTGACTGTTATATACTGTAATGGACCATGTTTTCAGAACTTACTCTGCATTTAGTTGAAAACCTGTAATATTACATATATATTATGTAACATGTATTACTATAATACATATTGTAATGGTTTTACTGTGTATTTTGTTCCCTGAATACCCGATACATGTAGTTAGCTACATTATAGCATGTTGTAAATAGTACCACTGCATTCCTCATCCTTGAAAATGTAGGATTAGCAACCAGAATCCAGATCCTAGGTGGTCTAGATCCCAAGCTACTGGTAAAATAACAACTAATGGCGCCATTGGACAAATATGCAATGGCCTTATAGCCACAAATCTTCCTTAGGCACGCTCCAACAGTGAAAGTTCATGTTTTTATCATCAAAAGCACAATTAATTCACATATCTGCTGGACTAATACAGAAAGTGCATAAAATAGGGCAACGTCCACTGAAACTCAGAGTAGAATCACAGTTGTATCTCTCATATCATCTTCTTTTTCCCTATGTTTTGATATTTAAACATGCCTAAACTTTAAAACCACTATTTTATATCAATGTACATCATATATATATATATATACATACATCCTCTGACTGTTATACAGAAAGTCCTTACTGTGTGAGGAGCTCGACGAGGCGTTCGTTTCCTCTCAGCTCTGCAACAGCGGAGGGGGTGTGGCCTTGTCTGTTGACCAATCGCAGAGCTTCTCTCGCTCCAGGTTGCTGCAGAAGGAAGTGTGTGACCCGATAAAGACCCCGACGAGCGGAGAAGTGGAGCAGAGTCTCCTGAGGATCCAGGTCTGAGGACGAGGACAAGAATGCAGAGATAAATACAAAAGTACAGACTCATTAAAGAGAGAGACAGGAGAAAGGGCAGCAGTCTAGGCGACACGATTTGTGGTTCAGAATCCGACATACCAGGCCTGCTGCAGCTCGGCAACATGCAGTGATGTCTAATTAAACCAGAACAGGGTCCACAGTGACTCCACAGACCTTTACAGACACCGCTTATATCTCTGTCTGCCTAATATTTAGCAAACTGTACATAAAAATAACTTTTATCGTGCTGTTTTTGTTGTGGACGACCAATTAATTTAGTTATTTTCACAATTGTTTTGTAGGTAAAAGCATCTAAATCTATCTTTGTGACTCAAGACATCTTGTTATTTCTGACCCACAGCTTTTGTAACACTTAATGAATAAACCCACACACTTGGAAGTAAATACTGTATTTTTGGATTAAAACGAACATGGCAATCTGCAGTGTTTTGAAAATGGCAATTTGTGTATGTCGTGTTTCGGTTAGTAAAATCCTCTTAAGCAGCATCTCATTTGTAATAAAACTGCCACAGTTACAACAATAATAATTATGCATATGACTAAATTAAACTACACTGTTTTTATTTCACCAGAAGGGAATGCTTTTTTGTTTCAGTCCATTATTTGCCCATTTATCAACTCCTTATAACACCACCTAATACTGAAACCCCTGCCTTTGCACAGCCCAACACACACACACAACAAACACACACACACACAACAACACACAGCAACACACACAACACCACACACACACCCACACACCACACACACACAACACACACACACACACACACACACACACACCACACACACAAACACAACCACACACACACCACACACACACACACACACACACACACACACACACACACACACACACACACACACACACACACACACACACACACACACACACACACACACACACACACACACACACACACACACACACACACACACACACACACACACACACACACACACACACACACTTTATTTGAGCAAACAGGGAAAATACATGGCTTTTCAGTCAGATACTGAAAGCAGATATATATATTTCTCTTCTCTGTGATTTACTGTGCATGTGCAGAGTTTGTTCGTTAGTTGAAAATAATTTTTTAAATGCATAAAACTGAGCTCTGTAAAGTCTCTTCGCCTTCATTTGTTTTTAGCACATACATCTGTCCATATATTTATATATGATGTCAATAAGCAGTATTTTTGTTCCACTGTACGGTATTTCATTTTATATTTGTTTTTTATCTTCTATTTTACGAGTACAAAGTTTACTTATTCGTTCACACCGTTGTACTTTTACCCGTACTTTTCCCGTTTAGTTCCGTTAGTCCCTGGAATTTTGCGTTCACACCAAAAAGAGAACTTAGTTCCAAGAACTTTTACCCCCATTTTTAGTGCCTGCTAGAGAGGTGGTACTATCCTGGGGAGAAAAAAGTACCAATTTCGATTGGCTGGGCGAATTGCAAACCACGCCCCGTAAAACTCTGAAAAGTTTTGTGAAGCCGCCATTGTATTTGCTGGCATTAGCATTATTAGCATTAGCCCCGCCCACCAACGGAGAGAGAATAACTTATGGCAACACAAAAAAAAACATGGGAGCGGTGGAGATGAGGAGGTGTCGGCGTTCTAGTTCCATGGGGGTACTAAGTGCTGGGCACTAAGTACGGCAAAGTACTTGGTGTGAAAGCGGCTCATGCTTTAATGTTCAGAAAGGTATTTTTTTTTCTCCCTCTGGAGGGACATTTTGGATTTGAGCCTTTGCAGACCATTTACATGCACACAAACCTATATGACACACTACAGGAAAGGGAAAATCCCCCAAAAGCATTATGGGATTCTTTAATATCTGCATTGCCAATAACTATGCTGTAGCTAATCTGCATATAACTATAACGCCTTTTTAATTTTGAATTTAGGCTGCAACTAAAACAAATTGTAGTAATTGGTTAATATGCTGATTCCTTTAAGTCCAAGATAAGATCTTTGAATGTATATTTGCTCAGATAAAACCCCCAATATATTCAGTTTAAACCCTAGTATGCTCTTTTTTTGTTTCCCCTATCCTGTAGTGTGTTATATAGGTTTGTGTGCATGTCAATGGTCTGCAAAGGCTAAAATCCACTCGGTCGCTCATTCATGTGAAGTGGATGTAGTATATTCTATTTTACTCTAAATTATCATTTTACTAAATATAAGTCATGCTGTATTGAAAAAATGTTTCACTGGGGGAATAAATCATGTTTGAAACAGGGTTACTTTTGTACACATTCAAACGTGATTTGCAATGGGTTTGCAATTACCCTGCTGATAATTAGAAAAAAATGCAGGTTTATTTTGACTTTTAGGACATGGAAGTTAAGTCAAACGTTAAAGCTAAGTGGGTCTTATTTTGTAAATAATTGGGATATTTAAGTTAAACAGATTTTACAGCTCGTATTGGTTTGAGACTGCAGATCAATTAGTCTATTAGTATTAGGATAGTAATGACAAATAACAGATTATTTCACACAGAGTGATTGAACACCAGTTCATTAGCAGCAGGTTTGAGCAGTAACACATTACAGGTAACAGGATTAACTAATCAGGGTACAACAAAAAAGTAGCTGTATTCCCTTAGAGTTAAATTAGAAAAAGACTTAATCTGATAAAAAAATTACACATATTTGATTCTTAAAATCGTGGTTTTTCTTCTTTCCTACGGTCTCATTGTTCTGTTGTCTTACACAATACACTTCAGTAAAAAACATCTTATTGATATTTCTCTTCTCTATTTTATTTGCACTGCATTTGATATTGAGGTAATCCAAAAGTAACCGAAAGTAATCACGTTACTTTTATATTTTGATACAGGGATGAAATTGTTTAATCATAACTGGGTGTGTACGGTTTATTTATTTGGTTTGTTATTTTATCTTTTCTTGATTACCATGTAATGCTTTTCTGTATTTCTTTGTTATTTATGTGTTGTTTTAATATTTTAATGTGTTTGTTTTTCAAAAACAAATGTATTTTTTTTGAAAAAACTAATATATATATGTTAATAATTGAGTTTTTGGGAGAAGGGGTGGGATTAAATAAGTGTATACTTCTTCCCAACCTTTTTCGGATGTGTAATTAAATAGATCATTTGTTTAAATATAATTTTTGTTTGTCAATTTGACACTGCTTAAGTTTGTATAGTTTAATAATTCTCATGTTTAATTTCATTATTATTATGTTTTTGTTCAGCCGAGCGTTTTCCACTCCTTCCATTGACATGCACGGCGGTTCCAGATGAAGTGATTTTCCCAGAGCTCAATAAATGGCCGGCTTTTGTGGGATCAGTGACTGCAGCGTGTCCACATTGTGAGGGATGACGGAGATAAACCACCGCCACCTCCACCTATAGTCCTCCGCCATCCATCATCCGACAGATCTGATAAATGGAGAGCAGCGTCTCACTCCTCTTCCCTCCCTGAAGCTCTGCGACACAACGTCTTGTGTTGAAGTGGTGACACATCGAGAGGCAGAGCCTATTAGAGCTCACATCACTCACCGCTGCAGGAAGCCGCCTTCCACATCAACAACATGACAACTGACTGTGTGTGTGTGTGTGTGTGTGTGTGTGTGTGTGTGTGTGTGTGTGTGTGTGTGTGTGTGTGTGTGTGTGTGTGTGTGTGTGTGTGTGTGTCTTTAAAAACCCTTTTCACAACAGTACCAAGTAGATCTAATCGGCAGGGAGGTCATTTAATGAACATTTGTTTTGACGACTTTCCCTTTCAGGCTCCAAAAGAAACGATGAATAAAACATTTTACGCAGTGCGAGAGCTTCCAATTCTAACTGCAGACCTGCTCAGTTTTCATGTTCTTTGGGGGGACATCCTGCTGGTTGTGCTGGTTCGATGCAATATCCAAGTCTAAGTTAAACCGTGAGATGTTATCTTTACAGAAGCCAGAGGGAGAGGCAGCAGTAACGACTCCCTAAAGTCTTGTTCATGCTGCTTCCCAGAGAGCAATTACCCGCAGAGTGTATCATCACATCAGATCCTTTGGATTCCTTTAACTGATTAAAGTCGTCGGACTCACTGGTTTGAGAAAATTGCTTTAAATACACTTTATTTTTGATAAAAATGCATGTTTGTTTGCACTGGGATCGCTGTTTCTCAGAACCCAAAGTGCTGTCTGCAGACATGAGACCTTACTTACTTACCAACTACCATCCTACATTCCTTCCTAAATTCCTTCCGTCCCTACCTACCTACCTACCTCCTCCCTTGTTACCTTTCTTCCTTCCTTCCTTCTTTCCTTCCTTCTTTCCTTCCTTCCTACCTTCCTAACCTACCTAGCTACCTACCTAATGTAAAGTTTTTTGTTGTCGTTTTTTTATTTGTTAGTTTGTCTATACTATACTCTATGAGTATGCACTAATTGGTCAATAAAAAAAAGTGCTGATGATAAAATGCTGAATTATCAATAAAATGTTGATATAAGATAAAAAAATAAAAAATGAAATACAATTGAATTAGGTGTGTTTTCATCTTCAAAAAACATATATAATTTGAATAATATTTGACCAGATTTATCCCATTTATCCAGGACAATAACATCTTGGAAATGCTGTGTCATATATCTTTCTGAAACAACAACAAACACACAGCATGTGACAAACACACAGCATGTGACAAACACACACACAGAGGTGCCATGTGTGTCATTATGCCCTGAACTATAATTTGTCGCCATGTTTCTGCATCAGTTGCAGAGACACTCGGTCTGACTCTTGGACGTTTTCCTGTGTGAGTGAATTACATGGTGCCAAAAGCCCAGTCTCACCAGTGCTGTTGGAGAGTTTGTTGCCCAGTAAGCTCCACCCTGGCGGCAGGAGGAGGTGGTGCAGAGCCAGCTCCAGGCTCTCGTCCAGACGCTCACACTCCTGCAGGGGAATCTGACACTCGTCCAGCAGCAGAGCGCCATCGAGGCCGTCAGAGCGCCCCGCGGTGCTCACCTGGGGGAGGGGGACAGAAACATGAGTTTAAGGAGGAGGTTAGGCATTTTTCCTTAAAACACTCACTTTAAAGGTCCCCTATTATACTGTTTTTCATCAATATATTACAGGTCTCAGATATATACAGAACATGTCTCTGATTGGCTGAAACACCAAACAGATCATTGCAGCATCCCATAATCCCCTCTGTTTCAGCCCTGTTTCAAAAGTGCTGATTCTCTGTCTGTTACTTTAGATGAAAATAAGGAGCCCCTCCCCACGCCCCTCTGAGAGAGATTTGGTTAAAAAGAGCTCAATGGTGCTCTAGGAGGAGATTCAGGTGATAAGGTGGGGGGGGGGGGGGGTTACCTTGGTTGGTGATTGGCTAATGGTTACACAAGCCGAAAAATCGTTATGACATCATAAAGTGGCCAAAATCTGATCAGCTCATTTTCAGACAGGTTTTTATAGAAATGGATCAGGACAAAAAGAGAGAGAATCTTTGTTCCTGAAACTTTCAGAGTCTCTTTACACAGAGGGGACACATGTTGATGTAGAAGAGACATGAAGAAGAGGGGACACATGTTGATGTAGAAGAGACATGAGGAAGAGGGGACACATGTTGATGTAGAAGAGACATGAAGAAGAGGGGACACATGTTGATGTAGAAGAGACATGAAGAAGAGGGGACACATGTTGATGTAGAAGAGACATGAAGAAGAGGGGACACATGTTGATGTAGAAGAGACATGAAGAAGAGGGGACACATGTTGATGTAGAAGAGACATGAAGAAGAGGGGACACATGTTGATGTAGAAGAGACATGAAGAAGAGGGGACACATGTTGATTTAGAAGAGACATGAGGAAGAGGGGACACATGGTGATGTAGAAGAGACATGAAGAAGAGGGGACACATGTTGATGTAGAAGAGACATGAAGAAGAGGGGACACATGTTGATGTAGAAGAGACATGAAGAAGAGGGGACACATGTTGATGTAGAAGAGACATGAAGAAGAGGGGACACATGGTGATGTAGAAGAGACATGAAGAAGAGGGGACACATGTTGATGTAGAAGAGACATGAAGAAGAGGGGACACATGTTGATGTAGAAGAGACATGAAGAAGAGGGGACACATGTTGATGTAGAAGAGACATGAAGAAGAGGGGACACATGTTGATGTAGAAGAGACATGAAGAAGAGGGGACACATGTTGATGTAGAAGAGACATGAAGAAGAGGGGACACATGTTGATGTAGAAGAGACATGAAGAAGAGGGGACACATGTTGATTTAGAAGAGACATGAGGAAGAGGGGACACATGGTGATGTAGAAGAGACATGAAGAAGAGGGGACACATGTTGATGTAGAAGAGACATGAAGAAGAGGGGACACATGTTGATGTAGAAGAGACATGAAGAAGAGGGGACACATGTTGATGTAGAAGAGACATGAAGAAGAGGGGACACATGTTGATGTAGAAGAGACATGAAGAAGAGGGGACACATGTTGATTTAGAAGAGACATGAGGAAGAGGGGACACATGGTGATGTAGAAGAGACATGAAGAAGAGGGGACACATGTTGATGTAGAAGAGACATGAAGAAGAGGGGACACATGTTGATGTAGAAGAGACATGAAGAAGAGGGGACACATGTTGATGTAGAAGAGACATGAAAAAGAGGGGACACATGGTGATGTAGAAGAGACATGAAGAAGAGGGGACACATGTTGATGTAGAAGAGACATGAAGAAGAGGGGACACATGTTGATGTAGAAGAGACATGAGGAAGAGGGGACACATGTTGATGTAGAAGAGACATGAAGAAGAGGGGACACATGTTGATGTAGAAGAGACATGAGGAAGAGGGGACACATGTTGATGTAGAAGAGACATGAAGAAGAGGGGACACATGTTGATGTAGAAGAGACATGAAGAAGAGGGGACACATGTTGATGTAGAAGAGACATGAAGAAGAGGGGACACATGTTGATGTAGAAGAGACATGAAGAAGAGGGGACACATGTTGATGTAGAAGAGACATGAAGAAGAGGGGACACATGTTGATGTAGAAGAGACATGAAGAAGAGGGGACACATGTTGATTTAGAAGAGACATGAGGAAGAGGGGACACATGGTGATGTAGAAGAGACATGAAGAAGAGGGGACACATGTTGATGTAGAAGAGACATGAAGAAGAGGGGACACATGTTGATGTAGAAGAGACATGAAGAAGAGGGGACACATGTTGATGTAGAAGAGACATGAAGAAGAGGGGACACATGGTGATGTAGAAGAGACATGAAGAAGAGGGGACACATGTTGATGTAGAAGAGACATGAAGAAGAGGGGACACATGTTGATGTAGAAGAGACATGAAGAAGAGGGGACACATGTTGATGTAGAAGAGACATGAAGAAGAGGGGACACATGTTGATGTAGAAGAGACATGAAGAAGAGGGGACACATGTTGATGTAGAAGAGACATGAAGAAGAGGGGACACATGTTGATGTAGAAGAGACATGAAGAAGAGGGGACACATGGTGATGTAGAAGAGACATGAAGAAGAGGGGACACATGTTGATGTAGAAGAGACATGAAGAAGAGGGGACACATGTTGATGTAGAAGAGACATGAAGAAGAGGGGACACATGTTGATGTAGAAGAGACATGAAGAAGAGGGGACACATGTTGATGTAGAAGAGACATGAAGAAGAGGGGACACATGTTGATGTAGAAGAGACATGAAGAAGAGGGGACACATGTTGATGTAGAAGAGACATGAAGAAGAGGGGACACATGTTGATTTAGAAGAGACATGAGGAAGAGGGGACACATGGTGATGTAGAAGAGACATGAAGAAGAGGGGACACATGTTGATGTAGAAGAGACATGAAGAAGAGGGGACACATGTTGATGTAGAAGAGACATGAAGAAGAGGGGACACATGTTGATGTAGAAGAGACATGAAAAAGAGGGGACACATGGTGATGTAGAAGAGACATGAAGAAGAGGGGACACGTGTTGATGTAGAAGAGACATGAAGAAGAGGGGACACATGTTGATGTAGAAGAGACATGAGGAAGAGGGGACACATGTTGATGTAGAAGAGACATGAAGAAGAGGGGACACATGTTGATGTAGAAGAGACATGAAGAAGAGGGGACACATGTTGATGTAGAAGAGACATGAAGAAGAGGGGACACATGTTGATGTAGAAGAGACATGAAGAAGAGGGGACACATGTTGATGTAGAAGAGACATGAAGAAGAGGGGACACATGTTGATGTAGAAGAGACATGAAGAAGAGGGGACACGTGGTGATGTAGAAGAGACATGAAGAAGAGGGGACACGTGGTGATGTAGAAGAGACATGAAGAAGAGGGGACACATGTTGATGTAGAAGAGACATGAAGAAGAGGGGACACATGTTGATGTAGAGGAGACATGAAGAAGAGGGGACACGTGGTGATGTAGAAGAGACATGAAGAAGAGGGGACACGTGGTGATGTAGAAGAGACATGAAGAAGAGGGGACACATGTTGATGTAGAAGAGACATGAAGAAGAGGATTTTGCATAATAGGTGAGCTTTAAGACACTAAGAGCATTAAACACATGCCCAGAAATGGGAGTTTTACTGAAATAATGTACAGGTTTAGGGAGTAACGGATGACTTTAAGTGTGAATCTATACGCCTGAATCTGCTTCATGGTTTTCACTTTCTTTGGTTCATTTGTTCTGTTTTTAATTCAGCAGGTGAACCTTTTTTTTTTTTTAACCTTTATTTAACCAGATAAAAACATTGAGATAAAATCTCATTTTCAATGCTGACCTGGCCAAGAAGGCAGCAACGTTACACATAACACATAACACAAACATATAAAATACAGAAAACATAACAAAGAAAACAAAAGAGGAAAAGCAGTCACTACATTGTGCACATTAGGACAATAAAAAAAGTACACTACTTGTTACTGCAAGAGCAGCTGGTGGTGAGGACTTCAGACAACTTCAATTTAAAACATGATATAGAGACAAGTGCCCTCAGTTTAAGGCGTGATTGAAGGTCATTCCAAGACCAAGGACCATAATAAGAAAGACTCCTTTTTCCAGCCTCAGTCCGTACAGTAGGAACCTGGAACCGTATCCAGGCACTGGATCTGAGGTTGTAAGAGTCACAAACTGGAGCAAATCTGACACATATGTAGAGTGGAAGCTTACCTAAAATGGCTTTATACATTAATAAAAACCAGTGCTGCATCCTACGCATAGTAAGTGAGGACCATCCAGTTAGGCTATACAGTGTGCAATGATGAGTCCTATAGGGTGCATTTGATATATAACGCAGTGCAGCATGGTAAAGTGGGTCAAGTTTGGCCAAAACAGTGGGACAGGCAAATCTATAAATGGTATCACCGTAGTCCAGCTGGGACAGGAATAAGCCAGAGACCAACCTTTTACGGGATGAAATTGAAAAACAACATTTAAATCTGAAAAGGAAGCCAAGAGTGAATTTCAATTTCTTTGTTAAAACTTCAATATGGTGTTTAAAGTTCAGATTACTGTCCAACCAAAAGCCCAGATATTTGTAGGTATCAACAAACTCAACAGAAACGCCATCAAGGGTGTCAATGGAGAGGCAAGAGGAGGACGCTGACTTGGGAGCAAAAAGCATTGCTTTGGTTTTCTTACTGTTCAATAGCAGTTTAGAATAAAGAAGCGCATGCTGCAGCGTGATAAAATCTGATTTTAAATTGGAAACGGCCATATCCAGAGAAGGAGCACACGAGTATACAATAGTGTCATCAGCATACATATGATAGGTAGAAAATTGCATCTGATTACAAATATTGTTTACATATAATAAAAAGAGCAAGGGCCCCAAGATAGAGCCCTGTGGAACTCCCTTCTCCAAGGTGACAGGGTCAGAGACAGTACTACCCAACCTGACGCATTGAGTACGGTCGGTTAGATAACTCTGAAACCAGCAAATGGCATTGTGACCGAAACGAGACACCAACATAACATTAGACATAATGTGGTGATCTACAGTGTCAAATGCTTTGGCTAGGTCAATAAACAATGCAACACAAACTGATTTTTTATCCAAAGCAGCCTTAATATCGTCTAAGACTTTCAGACTGGCAGTCACAGTACTGTGCTTTGATCTGAATCCAGATTGCATAAGGTTAAGGATGTTGTGTGAATTTAAAAAAAGTTTTAGCTGAGTAGAAACAAGGGACTCAAGAATCTTTGATAACACAGAAAGATTTGAGATAGGACGATAGTTATTCAACTCCGTGGGATCACCAGCTTTCAAGAGGGGCGATACCAGAGCTTGCTTCCACACAGCTGGCAGTGTGTGAGTGGACAGGGAGAGATTAAAAATATCAGTTACTGGTTGTGCTATCATCTGAGCTGCAATTTTTAAAAAGAACGGGTCAAGGCCGTCAGGCCCGGCAGACTTTTTAGGATCAATCGAGTGCAAACCCTGTAAGACTTCAGAGACCGAGAAATAAGCGAAATCAAAAACAGGGGAGTTCAACTCTTGACTATGGCTGTGAGTACGACCATTTAGAGAGTCATGACTTTGCTCATCAAAAATGTGACCAGCCTTTTTGAAGTGAGCATTAAAGGCATTAGACATACCATCTGAATCTGAAATAAAAGAATCACTGACCTTCAGTTTTTGTGGGAAACTAGAAACCTTCTTGTTCTGAAGTGATTTAATTGTTTTCCAGAATTTGGAATGGTCATTAAAACAATCAGTGGTTAAGCTCAGATAGTAATCAGCTTTAGCTTTTTTAATAAGGGCAGAACATTTATTTCTGAGGACACGAAAAAGAAGCCAGTCATCACTAGTGTTAGACTTTCTAGCTAAGGACCATTGCTTATTTCGATCATGAATGAGATCAGATAGTTCTCTAGTAAACCATGGAGTGTTCCTATTCTTAACTCTGAATTTTCTAAGGGGGGCATGTCTATTAATAATCGATAAAAAGTGATCAATAAAAAATTGGACGGCAACATCAACAGATGGAATTAACGCTGTGAAGTGCCATTTAACCTCCGCCAGATCGTGTAGGAAAGCCTGCTCAGAGAAGTGTTTGAAGCAGCGCCTGAGCACAATAAGGCCCTTGGCTTTGGGCAACTTAGTGCACCTAACGCAAGCGATAGTGCAATGGTCACTGATATCATTAGGAAAAACAGACACATACTTATGAGCTGCATTTGTTAGAATGACATCTATAAGGGTATCGTTATTGGGTTTGGCAGGGTTTATTCTAGTGGGACTATCAATAAGCTGAGTTAAGTTCAAAGAATCACAAACCTGCTTAAACTGTGAAGATTTATCACTTAACCAGTCCCAATTTAAATCACCCAATAAAATGATTTCAGAAGAAAACTTAGACAACAATTCAGTAAGTAACCTATATGTTCATAAAAAAGTGTGTGAGCTTAACTTTGTGTGTTAAACTAAAACGGAGCATTTCCTGTCAGCTCAGATTGTAGTAGTACTGTATGTGCTCAGGTGTTTCATGGTTGGAGCAGAGGCTAGATGTGACAACCATGAGCATATAACTCAAAGTCTTATCCTTAAAATAAGGGTAATTTTTTGTCAGTTACATTATCTTTTCCTCCTCCTTGGCAGAGCATCTTGTATATTACATTTCCCTGGGATGATAAATCGTGCTGAGAAGAATTCATTAATTGAACACAGAGGACTGCGAAACATCAAGGCTCGTCGGAGAAGGAACAGAAACACGGCCGTACTTTGTCTTTCTTTTTGTCACTTTTCCCACATTGCTGTTTTCTGCGACAAGCCTCATTCTGTGCAGTTATTATTATTATTATTAGTATGATCTGCCCCCACTGGACTTTAACACCCCACAGACACTCAGACAATCAAATATGTGTTTCTAGTTATTGTGCTTCTTATCATTTTTTTAATTATTGTTTTATTATTTGATTCCCATTGTGTTATTATATATTGTATTTACTGCCTGAACAGCACTTTGGTCAACTGAGGTTGTTTTAAATGTGCTATATAAATAAATAAAGATTGCGATTGAGATTTATACATATTTTTATACATATTTTCTTAATATATATTTGTATTTTTTGTATTCGGGATTGTGGATCTCGATCTCTGTACACACAAACTGAAAGATTGACAATAAAGTTGACTTTGAGACTTATTTTTCAGCTCCATTGGAAATGATTTGGTCTTTATGCTCACCAGGAACTGGGCCATGTCAAAAGCCAAATCCTGGACGAAGCTGAATCGATGTTCGCCCAGCGGAGTCACATGACCCGGGTTCAGATCCTCGGGGGGGCCGCGGCTCGCTGAACACAGAGTGACAAACACCGCCTCGCAGCAGTCGTGGGCTAAGAGACAACAAAAGGGGGGACACAACATGACAGGGTGAGAAAAAAGACTGGGAGGAGGTGTTACAGCATGGAGAATATGCTGTAGTTTTAAACAAATACATTGGCTATAATCTATATTATCAATCTGTCTGTGTATATGGCTACATCTTCCATGTGTTTAAAATGTGCCTTTTATAAAGTTAAATGTGCTTTGGCATAAGCAATTGTGTTAGCAAGTTAATGCGATTTTGCTATGTCCCTGTGTTGCATGAGCACACGATAGTCGTTGTTAGCTTGTTTTCAGCTAGCAAGGATACTGTAAAGTTATATTTAGCATGTACTGTAGTTTTTAAAGACTTTTCCTAATACACAAATACATTATCTATATTATATAGGAGCAGTCTGTGTATACGGTTACATCTCCCATGAGTTTAAAATAAATGTGTTTTGGGCATAAGCTATTTTGTTGTTAGCTAGTTTCGGCTAGCACATTTTAGCATAATACTTTAGTTTTTAAACACTTTTCACAACACATTGTGCAGGTTCATTTAAATAATGTACACCCCATCTGAGTATCTCAACCAAAGGCTACTATAACTACCTTTGCAAGATTGCACTATATCTCTTAGGGAAACCATGAAGCCAGGGTTAAGATTAGTACTCTTGTTCTTGTAGAAACCCGAAATACTAAATGGACGTTAAGTATGATCCTGAAAATGAGCAAATGCCTTGCTCAATGGCACCCATTCCAGGCCATAGTAGTGATTTTGTGTATCTGAAGCCATTTTTCCCAGGCCATTTGGTAATTGTATCCCACGACCTTGTGCCTGGTCACAGGTTGTTCCTCCTGAGCTGTACTGATGGAGGGAGCGGTGGAGCAGAGCTAATCTGTGAGTGGAGAGCAACACCTCCTCCACCCCCCCTCTGATGGCTGTAATTCAGCCGAGCTCTTAACAAGATAACAAGTTGAACATGTTCCACCTTCTCTTTTACCGACTGAAATCCTGACACTTAACAGACTGGTGCAGGGATGATTCCTAAACTCGGAAATGAGTCGACATTTTAGCACTTCCTGTTCCCTGGTCTGGAAGTCAATCGGTTTTTGATTGTGTTTTTGTAGTTGTGAGCATGAAATAAGGTCTGTGAAGAGATTTGAAAGTGTTGTTCTAAGACATAAAATTTGTCAGCAAATCCCCCACTGGTGAATTAAAAACGGTTGATGCTATCAAGTGTCTAAATGAGACGACTAAACGTCATCACGCCCAACATTAGCCGCCTTTAGCTTAGCAGTGGTGACGTGAAGTCATGTGACCGTGCTGTAGTTCCTTTATAGCCCAACATTAGCCGCCTATAGCTTAGCAGTGGTGACGTGAAGTCATGTGACCGTGCTGTAGTTCCTTTATAGCCCAACATTAGCCGCCTATAGCTTAGCAGTGGTGACGTGAAGTCATGTGACCGTGCTGTAGTTCCTTTATAGCCCAACATTAGCCGCCTATAGCTTAGCCGTGGTGACAACAATAAATGTATATCTGTTGTTTTAGCTTATATTTAATGCCTTCCCCACCATGTTGCTACCATTGATTCATATTACAGGTTTACAAGTATTCTGTATTTCTACGACCCATTTACTCACTGTTGCTGCTTATTCATCTCACAGGAAGTATCTCCGACTTCTGCGCTGTCTAAATATTTTAAATGTGGCAAGTATAGAACAAATGGGATGAGCTCCAAGAGGAGAGATGATGAACGAGCCAGGCTCCATAAAAAGTAAAATGAGGTGATTTCTCTCCAACACACAACATTAGTTTTAAAGCCAGGCCAGTGGAGGTGGATGATTAATGATTTATCACTTTCTTCCACCGCTATAATAACTCCTGACTGCCCTATGCTTTCTGTGGGATGGGAAGAATAATTACACCACCACCTTCCTCAACATAACACATTTTTTAAATATATTTTGGCATGCTTTAGCACCCGTAATGTTCGTTTGAGCTATAGCACATAATGGCTATAGAGAATTAACAACTAAAGCAGTTTTTGCTGTTTTTATTTTGGGCCTTTTTAAGAATATATTTCCTTTATTTTAACTTATTTTGACGCATTTGCCCCAAGGTTGTGATATGAGAATCCATATTGTCTTAGATTTTAGATATATTGATTGTATTGTACTGGTTTTACAGGCTGCATTACAGGAAATTCTGAATTTATAAGACTATTCGAGCTAGACCTTTTCCCTCAGAGTTCAGACTTTAATCTCAGAACTTTAAAAACATATTCACTCGTGGTCAGATCTCAACAAATATTTGATACCTGACCCCAATCCTCTTCTGTACACAATTCATAAATATACATTAGAAAACGTTGTAGTCACTTGCAGTTTAAAAGTGTTTCTGTTTTGTTGCCATTAAAACCTTAAGTTGATATTATTTATATGGATAAGTAAAGCTTTCAGACATCTTTCTATCCTCAGACCACACATTACATTACATCGCTTTTATCCAAAGCGACTTACATATATTGAGTACTGTGGACAATCCCCACAGGAGCAATTTGGGGTGAAGTGTCTTGCCCAGGAACTCGAACTTGCTATCCCCTGATTCAAAGTTCCGCGCACTATAACACTGAGCCACAGCCTCCCATCTTTCTCTGATGCATGACAGCAGAATTCAAAATAGATTCATCATGCCTCCATCACTGTAGGTGGAGCTGCTTTCCCACAGGTGCATTGGGAGTCATTTATATATCCTTTACTTAACCAGGTAAAAGTGTAAGAGATTCAAATCTATTTTTCAAGAGTGACCTGGCCAAGAGGGCAGAATGAACAAAGTTACAACAAATGAACACAAAACAATACAGGCAGACCAATACAGCTGTAAAACACAAATGAAATGGCACATAAACCAGTCAATATGCGAATAAAAGAAACTATTATAAAACGACTTCAATTAGGGGATATACGAGCAATCACATCGACCAATGGTTCCTTTAAGATAGACTTGAATTCCCCCATAGTGATCAAATCTGACAGTTTCAGCTCTTTCTGTACATTATTCCAAGCAGAAGGGGCAGTATATTTAAAAGCTTTTTTACCCAGTTGTGTTCTCACTTTAAGAACCAGCATCTGAATAAAATATTGGGACCGCAGGCCATATAAACTTAGTTTTTTTACACATATATGTGCAAATATAAGACCGTAACAGGGAAGCTTCAGGCGTTTTGGGTGGGTCAGCTTACCGGGACACAGCGCCTGCAGGGTGTCATGGCTGCTCCTTAGGGTGCTGGTCAAGTGTCTCTGTGTGCTGCCAGCGAACAGCAGGAAGTAATCCACGCCATCCTCATCCTCAGCCAGCTCTTCATCAGCGAGCTGAACCGTGATGACACAACGCCCCTGCAGAGAGAAGGAGGGGGGAGATGGAAAAGAGCAAAAAGTGAGACAGAAACTTAGAGAAATATAAGTTTCTATTCATTATTAAGATGGCGGCTCTTGCAGACACAGCTGGCTCCCTCTCTGCCTAACCAAGACTTTATAATAATTTTGCGCACACACACACACACACACACACACACACACAGACCGCCTGATATAAAGATGAATTGATCTTTTTATAACTATCCAATTATGTACATTTGATATCTTTACATTTACATTTTTCGTAAATGTAATAGTGGCTTCTATACAGAATGTGCTTTGCTGCTAATGCTGTTATCAACACTGCTTTTATCTATTTGTTGATTATATTAAAATGATGAGAAATGAGAAAAACCTGCAAAAAACGTTGATATGCACGATTATATTGACAATAAAGACTTTCTGAATCTGATTCAAACTGACTATTCTGTGTTGCTCCTTATTTCTCACAATATCTATACGATGCATCCTATCTCTTCATCGATGGATTTGCAAGTATAAAATACTAATATATGTGCAATAATATGTGTTTTTCTGGTAGGGAAGCACATGTTTTAATCAAGTTTATATCAAGACAAACTTCAAGCAGCCATTAACGAGGCACATTTAGAGCCAGTCAGGGAGGCATGTCCACTGTGCAAAGGAAAAGCTCAATAACACAAATGCATAATTGAATACAGCCTAGATAGTGTCTGTATAGCACAAACAAGCCCCAAAAACTGAAGCAACAAGAACAAATCCTAATCTTACCCCTCTTATCTGAGAGCAAATGTAACCTGAATATAAAAATTGTAATCCCAGATGGCCACTTTAGATGCATTTAAAACAACTTGTGTATCCAGATGTGAGCTACAATCCATTCCCTCTGGATATCTGGATGCCAAATGTTAATAATACCACGGTGTAAAGCTGTATGTGGAGTCTGCCAGTTTCTCTCTGCAGAACACTTGTTACAAAAAAGCCTTAAAGATAACATAGTAGTGATGTATTGATTTGAAAAGCTGCTCATCACATCATTAACAAACAAACAGCAGCTCGACTTTGTGCTGAGGAGAGACCGCAGAAGAGGAGGAAGACATTATGTTTACGCAACGTGATTAACAGCTCCTGTAGCAGTGCTTTTTATCTAAAATCCTACTTTTTAAAAGAAACATTTCATCCCAAGAAGCATTATTTGTCAATTACTCCTCCGGTTTTACCGTGAATTCTTGAAGAAAACGAAAGGTTTTTTTGCATACATCCACGCACGGGTGAAAAATATACATATTTCTTTCTTTTTTTTAAACGGTGAATTAAGAAAAGAACGATAAAGGGGCCCTCATTTAACAAAAGAAAATCACATGCATATTGCAGAAGAGTTTAGGGGAGAATTTGTAATCTATTTTTTATATACAGTAGTTTTACACTTCTTAAAACACAGCGCCCATTCTACACTTCAATTCATCAACACTTTTCGCAACTTTTCAGACAGGAATTTTAGGCTTTGCAGACCATTAACATGCACTAAAACCTACAGAACACACTACAGGAAAGAGAAACCCCCAAAAAGCATGATAGGGCCTTTTTAAAATGCTTCCTTCTCGTAGTGCCATGAGAGGAAACGTTTTAGTTCAAGAATTCAAGATAACAAGGTGTGTTGTTGATATACAAATGGTCCTTTCGGGCGTGAAGTATTATTATTACATACAGTAAACAAGCTGTGCACAACCTGTGTGGGCAACATGAGCAGCTGGTCTTACTGGATCTGGTGCGATTAAAGTCCTGGAGCACCGGCCAACTTTACATGAGAAATGTCATGGAAGTAGATAACAGAAGCATTTTTAGCTCTTTTACGGGATTCTTGTTTAAAACTCGTCAGGTAAAACATGAAAAATTCAGCGTTAGTTTGTTTTTTAAGTCAATAAATCTCATGCAGGTAAGATAGGAAGATGTGTGTCTCTGTTAACTTGGAGTCTTCCAGCCTTATCATTGTTAACTGCATATTGAAATATCCTGATTCTCATATGTACTTTTGTATGTATTGGTCAATGCGTACATTTGTCCTATAACTCATTTTGTTTTTATATTTTATTATATCCTTTTGATTCACAATTTTACACAAACGTCTTAAGGCCCCTACACACCAAACTGACACCAAAGAACACGTCCCGACGGACCCGACTGTTGTGTCGCCTCACGTCTCCGGCGTCTTGGCCAACAGTCGCACTGGAACACACCGCAAAGACTTCAGCCGACGGCCAAGAAGCACGTACGAACTGCGCATGCGTGAGTGGCAATAACTCTCCTTACCAGCAGGCGGCGGTAGTGTGTATTCGTCATTCAAAAGAGGCAACAACCGGAAGACAGACTGCGTGATAGACCGAGAGAAGAAGAACAGACTGCGTGATATAAACAAACAACAAATAGCGTGTGCGTTCCATTTTCACTCTACAGCGAGAAGCTCATGGGGCTTTCCCGAACCTGTGTCGAGAGCTGGAGTTAAATGAAATCTCAGATTTGCCTTCTTAATAGTTTGTTTGGGTCCCTCACTTCCGTTTCGTTTCTCATGCACTGATTCGCTAGCTGAACAGCCAATCAGAGTGATTTCTTTGGCCGACGGCCTGTTACCGACAGCCTACCGATTCAACATGTCGAATCGGCGGTGGAAGGTGTCAGCACGGCCGAAAAGAGACGACGGTGCAGGACACACCAATCTGAGTAGGGCGACAGGACGCTCATCGACGGCCAGACATCTATCGACGGACGAAATCGGCTTGGTGCGTCAGGGCCTTTAACCTGTTAAGCCCCATGCCCCCGCCGGCTAAAAACAATATTTAACTTCTCTTATTTATATAATTATTTGAACATTTTTAAAATGTTTACATTAAATTCCTAGGTTTACATAAATATTGTAATACTATTTTTGTATTAATTTTACATCATAACATTAACTTCATATGTTTATATAAACATTTGTATATTACATTTGACTTTTCCTTTTATTTCAAATGTTTACATGAGTAATATGTTTTACAAAATATCATGGAAGTAGATAACAGATGCATGTTTAGCTCTTTTACGGGATTCTTGTTTAAAACTCGTCAGGTAAAACATTAAAAAGTTAGTAGAGATGTCCCGATCCGATCATGTGATTGGGGATCGGAGACGATCAGGTGATTTTCAAAAGATCGGAATCGGGAGAAAAAGATCGGGGTTCGGTTTTTTTGCTTTTTTTTCATAAAATATTTTTATTATTTTATTTAATGTAACAAAACATTAATGACCATGTTCACGTCTTAAAGTCATCCTGAGGCCTTAGTTTTGGTTTAAAATTATACAACATCATGTATGTGTTGCTTCTTTTGGGCTTGTTTTCATAGACCTGGTTGCTTATTTCTCTCAAATCTGGCAACAGAGTGGGCGCAGTGTCTAATAGTAGCAGTAAGCTAACAAGAGGCTACGTTCAGCTGGTGACTCGGGAGTCGGGACAGAGAAAATGTCAGGAGTTTGGAAGTATTATAAAATTGAAAGCGATGACTGATAAGCTTTATTTTGTTTTGATCAAATGCTGCACAACTGAACTGATCCAATGCTCCTGTGAAAAAAAGAAGCTATATCCACGTTGGATAGAATGGGTAGTTGGGTACTGGCATTTAAATAAAAAAATAACCTTAAGGGACAACCTGAATGCTTTTTTCCTTTTTTTTCTCTTAATGCATTGCATAAAGATCGGATCGGGAAAAATCAGTATCGGCAGATTGTCAAAATCAAATGATCGGAATCGGATCGGGAGCAAAAAAAGGTGATCGGGACATCCCTAAAAGTCAGCGTTCGTTTGTTTTTTAAGTCAATAATTCTCATGCTGCAAGATAGGAAGATGTTTGTCTCTGTTAACTTCGAGTTTTCTAGCCTTATCATTGTTAACTGCATATATATTGAAATATCCACATTTTCACGTATTTATTCTTCTATTTCTAATGCTTGTATACATATTTTTATTTCATTTAATTCTAATCAAATCCTTCAAATCAAGCCAATCAATCAAATCAAGCCAATGTCCCCCTGTTTGTATAAATATTTTTGATATAATTTATATTATCTTTTTTATTTCACATTTGTACTTTAACTTCTCATGTTTAAATACATATTTTCATCATATATTATTTTACATTTGTGTTTTAAATTCCAATGTTATTCATATATTATTTATATTGTATTCTAAAATTAAGCAACTATCACAAAACCCAATTTTCCCACGGGATAAACAAAGTATTTCTGATTCTATTTCTGATTGCAAAAAACAAGAAAATGGTCAGGTATAGCAAAACGGGGCTGAGGCTTTTCAAGCTAAGAAACAATTAGGGTTCCTGGAAACCAATGGCACTCAATCAATGTATATTTACATATTTTCCTCAGCTGTATTGTGTGAATGCAAAACTCATTCCAATGTAAGACACGGGGATGCAGACTCCATTGTGCATTGTGTGTTTTTTCTAAAAGACAATTGACTGTGTTGTGGCTGAATGGATTGTTGTTGTGGGCACTGGTGTCATCTGAGGACAGTCTGAGGAGGAGGAGAAGGAGAAAATAGAGATCTTGTTCAAAATGAGGTGAGGGACTGCAGCTTGTTGAGGGATAATAGAGAATTTCATCCCACTTCATCTTCCCAGTGCTGCCATCTTTTCTCCAACATGAACGCCTGTCCAGTGAAGGTTAAAGCTTTTAGTGTCTCTACTTTAAAGAGTCCTCTCCTGCTGATGTTCAGCTGTATATCAGTATGTAGTGTCTCTACTTTAAAGAGTCCTCTCCTGCTGATGTTCAGGTGTATATCAGTATGTAGCGTCTCTACTTTAAAGAGTCCTCTCCTGCTGATGTTCAGGTGTATATCAGTATGTAGTGTCTCTACTTTAAAGAGTCCTCTCCTGCTGATGTTCAGGTGTATATCAGTATGTAGTGTCTCTACTTTAAAGAGTCCTCTCCTGCTGATGTTCAGGTGTATA